CAGAAAGTTCAGAAGAACAGCATTTATTTGAAACAGATATCTGTTTACTGTCACTTTTGATCAATTTAATGCATCCTTGATTAATAAAAGTGTTAATTTCTGAACTATTGAATGATAGTAGATCACGGTTTCCACAAAAATATTCGGCATATATGAGGGAAAATAAGAAGTGCTTATGAAAAGCAAAGTTACATTGAGATATATATATATATAATTTTTTTCTTGCTGATCCGAAAAACAGTCCAATCCGTGGCTCAAAAACCATAATATGATCTGAACCGTGAGATTTGTAATCCATTGAACCACTAATAGTATCTCAGTGCTACTAGTCTTCTCAGGTCATGTGACTCGTGTGTGTGTGTGTGTGTGTGCGCGCTGCAGGAGGCCAGCGAGGCGTATCTGGTGGGTCTGTTTGAGGACACTAACCTGTGTGCCATCCACGCCAAGCGCGTCACCATCATGCCCAAAGACATCCAGCTGGCGCGCCGCATCCGCGGAGAACGCGCCTGAGCTCCTCTGTCTGTGTGTGTGTGTGTGTGTTGGTTGGTTGTGTACTCTCAGACGAGCTCTTGTGTCACGTCGTCGTGTGATTTAAAGCACAAGAGTTCAAGCCCTCAGGGTGATTAATTAAGGACTCCAGGCACTAATCGACACGTCGACTGATTTCGGGTGCTAAACACACACACAAACACACTCTCTCACACACACACACACACAGTCTGTCCATCGATCACGAGTGAAGGTTGAATAAGTGGGTCAGGGCTGATGTCTGCATTCAGGACTTTTGCGTCTCTCATGCAGGGTGCTAAAACAGCTCTGACCCATCCCAGAATTCCCTGCACCATCCATCACGAGCGCACGTGTGTGTGTGTGTGTGTGTGTGTGTGTGAGGCTGTCGATCAGCACGGGGTTTGTATACGAGCATCTCTCCAACAAATGTTTATTATTGCAATATTAAGAATTACTTTTAATAATTATTGATGTCTGTTTCTTTTTTTTTTATGCATTCATTTTTACATCACAAATCATGTTTATTTTCTAAAGGATGAGTTTGGGTTCAGTCTCAGGCATGTGAAGGGATGTTCAACATTACTCTAATTGGCTTCAGCGCTGAGAATAACGTTTATCTGCATAAACGACCCGTTCATTGATAGGAGAGTCTGGAAGGACTGACTTATTAATTTGAACTGAATAAATATATATTGGCTTGATACTGTTTTTGAGTTTTGCCACGATAATTTCCTTCATTACAGAGCAGTTTTCTACTCATCCCTTCAGCGTCTCACGACTCCTCAGGCAGACATGGAAACATTATTACTGAATCCTGCTTGATTTGTGGCTGTTTTTGTTTCTCCTTTATTCAGAGTCTGACTACAGAACATTCAGGTGTTTCAATAAACTGATCTTTGTAATTTGACATTTCTCCTAATTGCGTAATAAATGCATGTCACACTTTTGTGGTTTGTCTTTTATTGTGATGTTTAAATATATTGCATTCAACTCTTGTTATAGGAACTTGTTTTATTTTTTGCCTTTTTTTAAATTGTAAAGCACTTCATTTCTTGTATGAAAGACGCTATACAAATAAAGTATTAGATTACATATATTAGTTTATTAGACATAATTGCACATTATATTTGATTATTAGACTAGTACAGATATGGAATGGTCCCAACTAACCAAATTTCAACAAAAATCCAAATGTAGATGCAAATACATTTTTTTTAAATAGTTAAACATTAAATATAATTTAATATTTTAGTAAGGTAATGTAATCATTTACGGAGTGTCTTTTTACACTAAGTGAAGTTGATTTATTTGAAGAGGAAAGAAGAGACCCTTTCGTTTTTTGTTTGTTAATATTTTCTCCGTTCCTTGTTTCTCTCTAAGAATATGCGTAATTTTATTTTAGCACGCATTTTTAGGCACCGACCCGAGTTCGAATCCGCCTTTTGCTGAGTCCGTCTCTTTTCACATCTCATATCACATCGGAAAGGCATTTATTTTTAATAAAAATGAAGGAAATAATGGAAAAGTTGTAAATAAGGTATAGGGAGGGCTTTATCGTCCCAATAAGGCAACATCCATTTGATAATTTGAATAAAAATTATAATTTACACTCACTACATTATTATTGCATACTGTTTTATGATGTACTACAATACTGAGGTGCAAGATATTTGCCACTATTTGCAATAAGAAGTTTAAATAGCAGAAAATACTGCTGTTTTTAAATAAGTGTCTATCGCTATTTCCACTGTGTAAATAGCATATCGCTATGAGAAAATACTGCTATTTTCACTTTGTGTAAATAACCGCTGCCAATTATTGAACTAATTAAATGGAAACATCTATTATAATAATTACGCATTGAAATATGACCATAGTGAATTTATAAATTATTTACACCAACGAATAAGGCTTAATGTGTTGCAGACAACAACAAAAAATGTTTTAAGAACGTTTTGCCAACGTTCCCATTAAGTTATAAAAACGTTCTCTGAACGTCCTGAAGTAACATTTTAAAAATGTCAGACGAACGTCGAACTAAATAAATGATGCTTACATGATGTTTTTGTGCTAACGTTTTGAGAACATGCGATGCAATGACTCCGCCCACACGCGCGGCGGCGCTCCATGATGACGTCACTGCGCGTCCGATGACGTTACGTCCTCTGCAGCTTCCACGCGCCGCTTTTCCGCTCGCGAGGATCCGAGTGTCTGGAAAATAAACACAAATATAAACACTTAACATTAAAAAAATACTAAACAAACACCCGGAATCATGGCGACGACATTCGAGCAGATGAGAGCGAACGTCGGCAAACTTCTGCGGGGCATCGACAGGTGAAGATGATTATTAATAACCGATAAACATCAGAATCAAAGGACATATTAGAGCCCTAACTGTCTTCATAAAAATAATTAATTTATTCAAAGTAGGTGCTTGTGTGTCATATCGTTTTATCTGCGTGTAATAATTCGAATAATTGAAGTCACATGTATTTCTACAGTAGGATTGATTCAAAGCAGGTTCACAGAAAAAAAACGGAAATAATTGTTAAAATTATGCGTTTTTCTCGTAATTCTGACTTTTTTCCCTCAGAATTGCTTATTGTTTTCTCATAACTGACTTTTTAAATCAAAATGGCGCGTTTTTCTCGCATTTCTGACTTTTTTAAAATCAGAATAGTATGTTTTTCTCGCAGTTCTGAGGTTATATATCACAATTCTGACTTTTTTCCTCAGAAGACATCAGTGTCATTATCCAGATCAGTTCAGTGTTAAAACGAAGCGCGTTTAGTTGTTGTTTAATGGATCATTAATGAGTGTAATGTGATGATTACAGGTATAACCCGGAGAATCTGTCCACGCTTGAGCGGTACGTGGACACTCAGTCCAGAGAAAACACCTACGACCTGGAGGCCAACCTGGGCGTGCTCAAACTGTGAGTGCTGCACACTACCAAGGGCTCGACGTCAGTGCGTGTGTGTCCTCCGGTACCAGGGATGGAACCATGTCGAAATCTCACCATACGATATTTAAGAACAAAATTCAAATTTTGTACATTTTAAAGTTAAATTATTCTATCTAATGCACTTTGAGAGTCAAAATTAAGAGCTGCATCCCATGTTCTTAACTAAGAAAACTTCAGTGAATTGACTTGTAGCTGAACTTTAAAGGGACTCAACCCTCTTTTTATTTGTGATATAGTGTCTCAGTCTAAATTACAGTCACACTGGTGTTTTAGGAAGCCAAACAAATTAGAATATAATAATAATAATAGCAACAATATCAGTAATAGCCACATATTGTAAAACAATTGCACTGTAAAATAAATGAAAATGAATATTTACACTACAGCAGGGAAATTACAATACTTCTTTCCTAATTTCTACACTTGAAAGAGATATTGTGAATCTGGACTGCATTTAAACCGCTAGCTGTCAGCGATTCATAAACTGCACGAATAAGACGTTTAAATATATTTTAAAAACTACACTTTTTCCTGGAAGACCTATTGTTTCAGATCGTCATGTGACCACGATAATATCGAGACAGTTTTGCTATCGTGATATCATGATAATATCGTCACATCCCTGTCAGGTACCAGTTCAACCCGGCGTACTTCCAGACCACCGTCACGTCTCAGATCCTGCTCAAAGCGCTCACCAACCTGCCGCACACAGACTTCACGCTCTGCAAGTGTATGATCGACCAGACCCACGTATCCTTAATGTGCGCTTCTGGAGTTTGTCTCGACACGCTGCCGGAGTTTTTAAGATGTTCAGCATCATTACTCCACATGATCTTCAGAAATCATTCTAATATGCTGATTTGCTGCTCGAGAAACATTTCTGATTATTATCAATGTTGAAAACAGTTGTGCTGCACAATATTTTTGTGGAGATTCCAGATGTTTCCTTGACTGCAGTGTCGCAGCAGGAGGAGCGTCCGATAAGACAGATCCTGTATCTGGGAAACCTGCTGGAGACGTGCCACTTCCAGAGCTTCTGGGTACACACACACACACACTCACTCACTCACACACACACTCACTCACACACGCACGCTCACACACACACTCACTCACACACGCACGCTCACACACACACTCACTCACACACGCACGCTCACACACACACTCACTCACACACGCACGCTCACACACACACTCACTCACACACGCACGCTCACACACACACTCACTCACACACACACACAGTTGTGCTGCTGGATATTTTTGTGGAGATTCCAGATGTTTCCTTGACTGCAGTGTCGCAGCAGGAGGAGCGTCCGATAAGACAGATCCTGTATCTGGGAAACCTGCTGGAGACGTGCCACTTCCAGAGCTTCTGGGTACACACACACACACACTCACTCACTCACACACACACTCACTCACACACGCACGCTCACACACACACTCACTCACACACACACACGCTCACACACACACTCACACTCACTCACACACACACTCACTCACACACACACACACTCTCTCA